CCCTCTCCCTCCCCCCCTCAAATTTCCTTCCTCTCCCACTGACACCCGGCGGGCGCGCGAGGGAGCACTTGCCCTGGCTGAGTGCTTCCTCTTCAGCTCCCTCGCACACCGTACTGATGCCGGAGCCAGAAGATGACATCATCTTCCGGCGTCGGCATCAGTACGCGGCGTGCGAGGGAGCTGAAGAGGAAGTACTCAGCCAGGGAGAGTGCTCCCTCGCGCCGGCCCGTCCGCCGGGGGTCAGCAGGGCCAGCCTCTGGGGGGGCCCTGAGGTGACCGGCTGCTGGGCCCCCCAGGAGAAGAGGCTGGCCCAGTGGGTACATACCGGGGTCGCAGGACCCCCTGCGACCCCGGTATGTACACCACTGAATGTGGGGCCCAGACGACCTGAGCAGTCCGGGCCCCCCAGGACCGCCGGGCCCATGACAACCATTACGGTTGTCATGCCCTGATGGTGGCCCTGCTCAGCAGACTCTCGTCCCACAGCTCCCATAGTCTACGGAATGCTCCCGAGGACCCTCATATTCTAGCAGTCAGATAATCCTTGAGATTACAATCTGTAACGGATCACCTGGCACCCCGACTGGGTACCTCCGTTGAAGAATGCTCCTAGCGCTTACAGAGGGCTCCAAGCGCTCCGCCAGACACCACAACCACCGTAGACCCCACGAACCACCGCAGCTTGGTTGGGGTCTCACCGTCTCCTACCCACCCTGGACCTACGACAAGGCTCCAGGTTCCAGTGGGTGAAACTCTCCTCCAAGAGAGTGAAGCAGGAACAAGCTCTTACAAGAGCTCAGTGATTATAGCAAGGGAATATGCAGAGCATAGCAATCCCTTGTAGCAGATTCCCCAATAAGAGACAGGACTCAGATTGAGGGTGAAGTAGAACTGACTGTACTGGCACATACAGCCTCTTTTATTCACAATCCACAAACATAGTACTGCCCACAGGGTTTTGAAATACAACCAATCAATCAGTACAATACACACAGAAACTCCCACACAAAATCCTCCCCTCTGCCTGTGATATGATTACTGAACACAATGGTTAATCTAATTATCACAGGCAGAGAAATACAGTATTATAAAACACATCACAGGGACCCCAAAACATGCAATAACCCCATAAAAGTCCTTGGAACCGGGGGATCTGGGTGAACCACATATCCAAAATTCACCCAGATCCGTTCAGTACTTTGGAAGATACAGTTTAATGCAGATTCCACAGAACATATGCAGGCTAAATGAAAAACAATTACTGTATAATGTGTCCCCTGTTGTATAGTCCAAAACCACTGCATGATGTCTCTGCACCAAATACCGGCGAGATGGCACCGTGTGAAAAGTCCAAACAGTGTCTGTGAGTTAAAATGGCCGCCATCCATTGTTCTCACTATGTGCCTCTGATACAGGAAATGGTGGCCACCCAGTAACTCCACAGTATGTCCCCAGATGGTTCTTAAAGGGCCAGCAGCAGCACAACACAAATCCACTATGCCCAAATCATGTCTTAAAAGGGCAATACATCCCAGGGGCCATAGTCACATGGCTGGAGGCTGGCGATCAGTCTTCTCCAATGCCCAGTGGCGAGGTCGGTTTCGCTACATTTCTCCCCTTTCCCAAAAAGACTAACAAGGTATCTGACCTCCTGTCGGTCAGTGCCTTGGTTAGTCCAGCAACCCACCCACAAAACATAGTCAGTAGTGCAGCCCACCCACAATGAAAAGTTACTGTACCTGGGGTAGTGGGTAGCTTGTCCATGTCCAGGGGCTCCACCACAGGTCTGGGGAGTACTAGCCCTCCAGATCGGTGGGTTGCTGCGTGGGCAGAGACCAGCGGTACTCTGCCCTGGTGCCACCGCTACCACGGAAGTAGCCTGGTTGGGACTCAGCTGAGGAGAAGGGTTAGTAGGCTCCTCCCTCTGGACCTGGTGTTGCTGCTGGAGGGGAAAACAGGCTGTCTCCCCTTTGGATAAACAGCCCTGCTGCAGGGGGACAGAACCAACTGTCCCTACACCCTGTGGTTTGGGCACAGAAACCACGGTCCCATCTGCACTGGTGTGGGGCTTATCATTTCCCCTTGGTGGGCTAGGCTGCCGCTGGGGAGGGGGAACGAGACTCTCCCCTCCTGGTAGAATACTCTGCCGCTGGGGAGCAGGACCAACTGTCCATACTCCCTGTAGCTTGGGCGCAGAGACCACGGTCCCATCTGTGCTGGTGGGGGGCTTAGTGTCTCTCCTTGGTGGGCTACGCTGAAGCTGGGGACAGGGGGTAACAAGCTCCTCTCCCTTACACACTTTCAGCCGCTGGGGAGGAAGGACGGCACCTTCGGCTCCCTGTGATACATACTGCCACTGGTGAGGAAGGACAGCACCTTCAGCTCCCTGTGATACATACTGCCGCTGGGGATCTGGGCCAACCACCCAGCATCCCTGTAGGGCCGGTAGAGAGACCGCCGTCCCATCTCCACCTGCCATCTGTGGGTCTTCCCAGGACCAGTCTGTGAGGTCTCTCAACATTTGCGAGTAAGAACCACCTGCTTCCGCACCTCGCAACTCCGGCTGCTGCTGGGGATCTGGGCCGGCTGCCCAGCATCCTGGTGGGCCCGATGGAGAGACCTGTCTATGAGGACCCCTACTTCGGGTTCCTCCGGCCGCCTCAGGGAAAGACGGCTAACCTCCTCGGATGCAGTCTCTACTCGGCTGCTGTGACACTCCCTCCGCTGAGCATACTCTCTCTCTTTCGCCAGCCGGAATTCTCGGTACAGCGTTGTGTTTCGCTCGGCCGTAACCTGGTTCCAGATCACCCGGCGTACCTCCATGGGTAAGTCATCCCCATACTGGGCCACTCGCTGCCTCACCTCGGCCATCCAATCATCGCCAGAGCCTTCCATACTTGTCTGCTCCAAGTTGCTGGATACCTCTGCTCCCAGGGGCGCTGCACGTGTGCTAGCGTTGCCCTCAGTTTGTAACTCCACGAACGGTGTCTCTGAGCTGCTTTACCTCGCACTAGGACGCCATCCCACAGCTTGACACCAATGTAACAGATCACCCGGCACCCCGACTGGGTACCTCCGTTGAAGAATGCTCCTAGCGCTTACAGAGGGCTCCAAGCGCTCCGCCAGACACCACAACCACCGTAGACCCCACGAACCGCCGTAGCTTGGTTGGGGTCTCGCCGTCTCCTACCCACCCTGGACCTACGACAAGACTCCAGGTTCCAGTGGGTGAACCTCTCCTCCAAGAGAGTAAAGCAGGAACAAGCTCTTACAAGAGCTCAGTGATTATAGCAAGGGAATATGCAGAGCATAGCAATCCCTTGTAGCAGATTCCCCCAATAAGAGACAGGACTCAGATTGAGTACTGCCCACAGGGTTTTGAAACACAGCCAATCAATCCGTACAATACACACAGACACTCCCACACAAAATCCTCCCCTCTGCCTGTGATATGATTACTGAACACAATGGTTAATCTAATTACCACAGGCAGAGAAATACAGTATTATAAAACACATCACAGGGACCCCAAAACATGCAATAACCCCATAAAAGTATATCCTTGGAACCGGGGGATCTGGGTGAACCACATTTCCAAAATTCACCCAGATCCGTTCAGTACTTTGGAAAATACAGTTTAATGCAGATTCCACAGAACATATGCAGGCTAAATGAAAAACAATTACTGTATAATGTGTCCCCTGTTGTATAGTCCCAAACCACTGCATGATGTCTCTGTGCACCAAATACTGGCGAGATGGCACCGTGTTGAAAAGTGCAAACAGTGTCTGTGAGTTAAAATGGCCGCCATCCATTGTTCTCACCATGTGCTTCATCCATTGTTCTCACCATGTGCCTCTGATACAGGAAATGGTGGCCACCCAGTAACTCCACAGTATGTCCCCAGATAGTTCTTAAAGGGCCAGCAGCAGCACAACACAAATCCATTATGCCCAAATCATGTCTTTAAAGGGCAATACATCCCAGGGGCCATAGTCACATGGCAGGTGGCTGGCGATCAGTCTTCTCCAATGCCCAGTGGCGAGGTCGGTTTCGCCACACACTCGCTATGTGTGGTGCTTCTGGTTTTAACCATGTGTATGGTTAAAGGCTGCGATAGCCATAGGCGTGTGCAGCCTTTTGCATTAGGGTGTGTGTGTGCTGTGTGTGTGTGCTGTGTGAGGGTGCTGTTAGTGTGATGTGTGTGTGAGGGTGCTGGTAGTGTACTATGTGGGTGAGGGTGTTTGTCTGTGCACGCTTGTGAGGGTGCTGTTAATGTACTGTGTGTGAGGGTGCTGTTTGTGTGTGTGTGAGTGCTTGTGAAGGTGCTGTTAATGTACTGTGTGTGAGGGTGCTGTTTGTGTGTGAGGGTACTGGTAGTGTGCTGTGTGTGTGTGAGGGTGCTGTTTGTGTAATGTGTGTAAGGGTGCTGTGTGTGTTTGTGAGGGTGCTGTGTGTGTGGGTGCTGTATGTGTCTGTGTGTGCTGTATGTGTGTAGGTGCTGTGTATGTCTGTGGGTGCTGTGTATGTCTGTGGGTGCTGTATGTGTGTAGGTGCTGTGTATGTCTGTGGGTACTGTATGTGTGTTGTCAGAATATTTATATCAACAGACATTTTGTGCTGAAAAGAAATTAAAAGTGCATATTGCCAAATTCACTCAGAACAAAGCGGACTCCATTTTGCTATCTTCAGGATAACAAAAACACATAATTTCCTTAGTTTCTTCTTACTTTCACTAACCACTAAGGAATGCGTTATCTAAACACAGACACTAGTGACAGAGAAGACTAAGTAATTAACTTTACTTTCTAAATTTTACAAGGTTCCATTGTAGTAAGGGGTGAGATTGAGTTTAGAACTGTCAATTTTACAAGTTACGATCAAAGTAGTTGCCACAAAGACTGGGACAAACGCTTTGAACTGACAGCAAATCTAAGTTATGGTAGTCATTTTAGATAAGCCAAATGACGTCAAAATCGTCATCAGGAAAAGTTAACTCTTTCCTGGATAGGAAGGTTTCGTTAGACGAGACTGCCCTCTATGGATCAAATACCTAAATTGTGAACCATCAATTGGACACACCTACGGCTTCCTATTGGTTTATCAACTAATGACGTACAGAGAATCTGGCCCTTTAAAAGTTAGGACAAAGGGAAGACAGGGTTAGTTGGAGTTGAGAGACAGAGAGAGATGAATTGAAGTTTGGGGATTCCAAATCGGACATGCAGAGAAATCCAGGACAATATCTGGGACTAACTCTCTACCCTTAAACTCTCTTGGACATAAACTCTTAAACTCTTTAATACTTTTTCTATCACTCACGCACCTCCATACAACCAATCAAGTTTCTGGGACTACCTACTTTTATGGCTCTTCACTGTGTAAAGCTTTACTTTTGTCTGTAAGGATACCCTCATAAATCTTAAGTGACAGATGGCGCTGTTAGCCTTTGGAACATGTATAATCATTCCATTGTATTGCATACTTGTGTGGTACTAAATATTCACTGATTAATATCATGCATGCTGCCTAATATTATTGTTAATTAATTGTTACAATAAAATAAAATCTATTTTTATAACACATTGTGATCATTAATTGTATGGAATACTTTTCACTTATTTGATAACGATCTCTAGATCTAAGAGAATTGAAATAGTGGGCAATTCTCGACTGCTTAATATTATCAACCCATAAATATTCCCACAGTGTAGGTGCTGTGTATGTGTGTGGGTGCTGTGTATTTCTGTGGGTGCTGTATGTGTGTTGGTGCTGTGCATATGTGTGGGTGCTGTATGTGTGTAGGTGCTGTGTATGTCTGTGGGTGCTGTATGTGTGTGGGTGCTGTATGTGTGTGGGTGTGGGTGCTGTATGTGTGTGGGTGATTGTGGGGGGTGGAGGTGGGGGTACATTACTTAATATCCCCCCTCCCTTCTTACTTTATGTAGGGAGGGGGGATTCTTGTTCCTTGCTGCCTTCCCTGGTGGTCCAGTGGAGGTGGGGGCAGATTACTTAATATCCCCCCCTCCCTTCTTACCTTATGTAGGGAGGAGGGATCCTTCCTTTCTGCCTTCCCTGGTGGTCCAGTGGAGAGTGAACTCTAGCCTGCGGGATCTGAGATCTCGCGAGAGGAACCGGCGGAGCTGCCAGCAATAGCTCCCCGGGTCCTCTCCTGCCTCTGTCTCTGCCTGTGGGTCGGTGGGAAGGGAGGCTTAGAGCAGAGCCGGCACTCGGATAGCGCCAGCTCTGCATGAGCCGACAGGGGAGATCCTGAGATCTCCCCTGCCGGTCTCACTCCATAGGCGTGCCGCAGGGATTAGGGTGTGCCCAGGCACACCCGGCACACCCCGTGCGCACGCCTATGGCTATCGCTCGCCTTGCGGCTAAGATAATTTTGTGAATTAGTGTTTGCTCCCTTTTCGTCCATTCGTCTATAGATCTATTCAGAAGATACACCCATGGGTCGAAGTCTGGGGCCCTGGAAAAAACCTGCGTCAGAAGGTCCTTCATGGCCATCCAAAATCTAGTGATTCTTGGACACCCCCACCAAATATGCAGGTAAGTCCCCTTTTCCCAGCACCCCCTCCAGCATTCGCCCGTGGTGTTTTTGTTCATCTTAAATAGCTTGACAGGGGTCGTATACCAACGGAACATCGTTTTAAAGGATTGTTCCTGCAATGTCACGCACACAGAGGTGGTTCTGCTAGTCTCCCATATCTCCTGCCACTCTACTCCTTCAAGTTCCTCGCCCAGGTCTCTTTCCCATTGTGCAATATAGGTCAGCTCTCCCCATTCCTGGGTTTCGGAGCAGAAGTGTGCGTAAAGTTGTGTTATGAGTCCCCTAGGTATACTTCCCGAGTTACACATGGATTCAAAAAACTTCAGTGTTTTGTGTGCTATTGCTTTTATGTGGGGCTGTCTGGTAAAGTTCTTAATCTGCAGATATCGGAAGAAGTCCGCAGGTGTAAGGTGTCTTCCCTGTTTGTGTTTGTCGAAAGTAATTATGTCAGAGCCCTGGTGTATTCTCTGAAGGCCCGCATGTTCTAGATTCCTAAAATTCCTTGCCGCCATACCTGGGGTGAATGCCCTGTTGCGTAGTATTGGCATAAGGGGGAGGGAGAGGTCGCCAATCCGTACTTCTGACCGCAGGAATCCCACAGCCTAAGGGAGTTCAGAATTGCCGGGCAGGTGACCCTGATCAGAGGCCTATGTTCCATGGGAACCCACATCGCAAACTGGGGCAGATCTGTCCCCATCATGAGCGACTCTATTTCCACCCATTTCTGTTCATCAGGGGGTGAATGCCACAGTGCTACCTGTGCCAATTGTGCCGCCACATAGTGAAATAAGTCAGGAAGGCCGAGCCCACCCCTCGTCTTTGGCCGGTACAGGACGTGTCTAGATATGCAGTGTTTTTTATGCTGCCACACAAAGTCACCTATCGCTCGTTGGAGTGGGGTAAGTTGTGCCTTGGTCAGGGGGACCAGTAGTGCCTGGAAAAGGAATAGGGCTCTCGGTAGGATATTCATCTTTACAGAGTGAATCCTCCCTATCCAAGATATTGGTTTGTCGGTCCACCGTTCTATATATCTTGTCAATGTGTGCCATAAGGGTGTGTAGTTGCAAGAGTAAAGATTGTCTGGGTTAGTCGTTAAGTGAATTCCAAGATACTTGAGAGAGTGTGTTTCTATCTTTATATGATGCGCCCTGTGTATCTGGGCTATGTCTGCCACTTGCATTTTTATGGGGAGTGTGCTCGAATTCGCCTTGAAGCCTGATATTTCCCCATACGCTGCTAAGACCTCACTCAACGCCCTCATAGAGTCCCTAGGCCTCGTGAGCGTCAGGAGCACATCGTCAGAGTAAGCTGCTACTAAGAATTCCCTGCCTCCCACCCTCACTGCCTGGACCTCCGGGTGTATCCTGAGCGCCTGTGGAAAGGGTTCCAGCGATATGACAAAAAGTAGTCTAGTTCCATTATAGAGTGGAAAGGGGGAGGGCAGTGTGCCCAAGATCTGAACTTGTGCTCTGAGATTACTGTACATTGCCTTTACTACTGTAAGGTATTCCGCAGGGAACCCCAGGTGTTGCAACAATGTAAACATATAATGCCATTTGACTCTATCAAAGGCTTTTTCAGCGTCTATAGAGACAGCCAGGGTAGATGTGTTCATGACTGTCTGTTTCCATATGAGGTCTATATTTCTACGCGTATTTTCAAACAATTGTCTCCCTGGGATGAAACCAACTTGGTCAGTGTCTATCAGAGAAGTCAAGTGTGGGGAAAGTCAGTCTGCCTGTATCTTAGCTAGTATCTTCATGTCATCGTTTATGAGGGATATGGGCCTGTAGCTACCAGGTAGTAGCGGATCCTTGTCTGGTTTGGGTAGCAATACAATGGACGCTAATGCCATGTCAGGGTCCGGTGTGCCCGCCTCCGTAAAGTTGTTAAATAGTTTAAGCAAGTGGGGTACAAGATCCTCCCGAAAGGTCTTGTAGTAGGACCCGTCAAACCCATCCGGCCCAGGTGCTTTATTTCCTTTAAGCCCTGTGATCGCCCTATCTATTTCCTCCTCAGTGATCTCCGCCGCTAGCTGGGTTCTAGCCTCCCGGGAGAGCTTAGGTAAGCCTAAATCTGTCAGAAATCTGTGGATGCGTTCCGTCTCTTGTTCCATTCTCAGACTGTTAGTAGGTGTGTGAT